TCCGAGACAGTCTTTTTTAAATTAAGGTATCATTCTCTTCTACAGAGAGAAAAATCCTAGATTACTTTTACAGGAAATATATCTAATGCAATTGCAAAATTATATACTGCCATCTTTTTGAAAGTAGTAAACATACACACACACATATATATATATATATATATATATATATATATATATATATATATATATATATATATATATATATATGTGTGTGTGTGTGTGTGTGTGTGTATATATATGGATGGATGGATGTTCATTGGTGCAATGAGTAGTAGCTCAGATTAAGAAATCAGAAAGTTAAGCTCAATTACAGCCAAGTTCATTACATTCACTTATATGCAAATACCCTTGGGAAAGGTATAAACCACCTTCATCCCCTGTCCACCAGCTATGGGTGAATAGCATAATATACTGGACCCTAAAGCCTTATTTGGTAACCAGTCTAGGAGAAGGACAACCCTGAATTCCAAATCTGTGGAGAGTCTTTTGGAGACGACGTGGTACATTATGTGAACTGGTTCTCTGTATTTGATTCTTCTGAAAAGTTTGACTGGCTCTGCACAAGCTTTTGCCACTATAATCAAATCAAATGTATGGGTAGTTTACCTATTTTGTTATAAAGAACTGAGCAACAGCTGGACCCTCATATGTCAAAAACAATGAAAAAGTCCATTTTCATATACATATATATATATATATATATATATATATATATATATGGGAAAGAAGTATGATAAAGTGGAAAAGTTTTCATGTGATGTTCATTTCAATCTTTCTTAGAAAATTTTCTATTATCACAATGCAGGATATTTAATAAAAAAAGTGATGGAAACAAACAAAAAGAAAAAGAATCTAAATGAAATCAGCTGAATTGTATATCAAAAACTTATCAATAAAAAGAAATGTTTAATTCTTTGTGCACCCACCTTCTTTCATGTGCATGCGTAGTAACATCAACATAAATTTAGTTCAATGAAGTTCTAAAGAACAAAAAAACATTTTACCATATATATATATATATATATATTCATTCAAATATAATTAAACCAATGCTGACCAAAATTAAATTTCTTAGTAAAAGTATGAATTTAGAAAATTTAGTGAAACTAGCAATTATAAAGAATGTTAGTTTTTATGATTAAAGTTTTCACAATAAAATTGACATTAATCAATCTATTTTGCTAATATTTTCAGCATATACTTAGATGATGAATATACTGTGTAAATTTCTGCTTAGAATTAATTTATTAAAAATAATCTTATATTCCGTGCTAATAGGAATATATACTTTTAAAACAAGGTGGATAAATTAAGTAAAGGTTTATTGTAAAAAAACGAGTACAATAAGAATAAAGATAACAGTTATGCACAAGGTCATCGCAAGTCAATTCAGTAGTGAATGTTGCTATTGGAAAGTCGGTAGTTCTCGCGTAAGTCTAAGTTGTACTCAACAGATCCCAGCTTGTATATTTAGCTTCCCACGCCACGAGGGTTGCATGTGGCACAAGGCCGGTTTAACGTAGGTTCTTCGAGCTCGTAGGCTCGGCCAAAAATATTCCCTTTTGAACCCGTATAAACGGGTTCAGGGACAGTCTTCCTCCCTGAACAAGACTCTGCCCTTTGGCAGAGCCTCATCCAAGTTCCTCTCTGCCCGAAGGCAGAGAGTTCGACTGTTTAGCTGGAACAGGTTGCAGCTAGTCTCTGTAGTCCATTGACTTACAGATACTTATAGGTAGTTACTACCTATAGTGTAGTCACTCATGGGGGTGACAGGTTATTCTATTACATCAAATAGTTAGAATAACTTTTTTTTTAATCATTTAACCCAAAGCAAGGCAATAAAGTCACTAAGGCAGGGGGGGGGGGTTACTGAGAGTGAACTAATTTGAGATAAATCATTATTAAGGAGAGAATAATAAAATAACAAGATTCAAAGTTACAGAAGAAGACAATTGACATTGTACTTAAATTTCTGAAAATCTGAAGTTGACTGGAAAACAAGAGAGGCTGGAAGAGAGTTCCATAATCAAGAAGTGAGAGTGAGGAAACTGTTAATATAGAACTTATGGTTATATCTAGCAATTTCAACAGTAAAATGATGAGACCTAGCTGCCAATCTAGTACTGCACTTAAATTTGTAAAGTCAAGGTGCCAAAGAGGAAAGCTCATCAGAATAATTACCAAAAAAATATTTATAGAAAAGGCACAAGGAAACTATACTATGGCAGTGGGGAAAGTGACTGAAGCCAAGATGCCAGACCAGGACCATTAACATTGCAGATACTTTGTGATTAAACTTTAAAGTTTTAACTTAATCCTGTACTTGAAATTCAAGTGATTTATTTTCATGTTTAAATTCCTTAGAATTCAACTCTGAAAGGTTTTAGTAATTTACTAATTCCCCCTTGGCCAGAAAGGACTCTAGCACCTTGTTCAGCAACCTTCTTAGAAATGCTGTTGTGATAAAAGCAACCAGCCACCTGTGCTATGAACAGATTGATAAGAATAGATAGGCTCTCTTATCGTTTAACCAGTACTCTTTCCATATTTATTGAACAAGAGTAGAGGTTTATCCAGTTTCCTGTTTAGGACGTGATTTACAGGTTCTTTTTATTTTTCCATAGTCTTAATGATTTAACTGTCTTAAATTTCTGTTGATCTGACTGATAAGTGGCTGTGACTTTTCATTTTGAGGGTACTGGGTTAGCAGTTTTCCGGTTGCTGCAACCCAACTGGTAGTAGGTTGCCTGAAGTCTTTGGTAGTGTTTAGAGAGGCTGCTCTAATCAACAGTTGCATAATATCTGGGTATTTGCAGTGCCACGTCATTATGGGTAGGTGTCCCTGAAGGTATTTTCGCTGGGTAACCTAGAGGTTATGCTTCTGGACAATGGAGAGTGATAATTATTTTGGCTTGTTTGTAAAAAAAAAAAAAAAAAAATTAAAACACTAAACAAAACAAAACAAAAAAAATCCCCCCACCAAAAAAAAACCTTTTTCTTTTTTCAATATTCATGGTATTTGTACCAATTTCTGTATTGTAGAATCTTATCTCTTGAAACATTCTTCAGATATCTTCATGCTTTGTGAAATCAATTCATAAGAACTTGTTAGTTTCTATTTTCATTGAAAACTGACTTATTTGTTGATGTAAGATTATACAACTCAAGAACTGTTCAATATATTTTAAATAAATATACTGTATATACTTGTGTATAAGCTGACTTCATGTGTAGTGTGACTCCTGATTTTTGGCATGAATTCAATTGCTGCTAGAAAAAATACCTGTGTATAATGCAACTGGTCACCAAAAATGCATGATTTTTAACCTCTTCAAAAAAATTATCTGTGCATAATATGACCCCCTATTTTGAGCATAAAAAAAAACTGATCATAAAAACTCACACTATGTACCAGTATATATAGTAGATAATAGTATGATAATTGATATTTCCTAATTTTTGTGAAAAATAATTGCCAGGATTTTTATCTGAATTTCTGGGATGAAGAGTTATCATTGTTTACATTATATTTGGACCAATGTCCTCATCTTTGTTGTTATTATCACAACCTTTCAGCTGATGTGCCCTCGTGCCTTTTTTTTTTCTTTTTTTTTAGGTGTTTATCAATTCAGGTAAACACTAAGCAATTTCAAACTGAACACTTTATTTAATCTATGGAGTTAAATAGCTCTTGTTCCACTGTCCTTATATACAGGATGTCCATGTCCCATGGAACAATAGCCTAGTGGATTAGTGTTGGTTCAGGAATTTAGTAGCGCAGTAATTGTGAGTTCAATCCCTGGGCCAGGTAGTGCAGACTTAGAGAAACAGAACGAGCAATAACTGATCAATACTAAAAAGAGAACAAGATGAGATATTCCTAGACATGGACAGTGGAATGAGAACAATCTGTCACCATTTATTAAATAAAGGGTTCAGTTTAAAATTCCCTGAAGTTCACCTGTATTGAAAAGCAAGCCAGAGTGCACAATGACATAATGTAAATAAAAAATGGTATTGTGCAGTCATAGAGTGATAGGAACACAATGTTGGAAATTGTGACAAAGTTGAATTGAGATTAGAGAACAGTATAAAAAAAAATAACTGAAAACATTAGCAAGAGATGAACAAGGATAAAAAACAGCTTTAAACATACTAAAAAAAAATGATTTGAAAAAAAAAATTAAAAGAGTAATAAGGAAAGTGGACTGAGCTGCAAAAAATATTTGAAGAAGCTGGTGTTGTAAATGTAAAGAGAGAGAAAAGATAATAGCCAAAGGCATGAAAGCAATCAAACTAATAATTTAAGTAAACATCACAAAGAAAAACAAGAAAAATTTCTCAACAGTAATTTTTGGTGATGAATAACCTAAAGAGTATACTCATGTAAAACAATACTTTTTCACAGTCTGTCAAGTTGACTATTGTCCACCTTGCCAAAAAAATGTTTGAAAGATACACAATTATTGGAATGTCCCCAAGCTTTTCCAGACATTAGTAAAAAGAAACAAAAAAAAAAACTTGTGGTTTACCATTAAAAGAGGTTTATATGAGAATAGAAGAATATTCAAATAAAGATCTCAAGAAAGCAATAATGAATAATGGAAGTGATGTTAAAATCAAAACAGTAGAAAAGTTAACAAAGTCAATGATTAAAAGACTGACAAAACTAATGAAATATCAAGGAGCTTATATTCATTTGTAAAATGATAATTTCTGAAGTAGTTTCTTTTGAAGTATATCATTTGGATTTATTTATAAAATAGTAATACCTACCCCAAAACAGATTGTCATTATTTTTTAGTAAGGAAATATATAAACTCACAATATATTGATTATATGAGTATATCCTGAAAATTTTACCAGTCTGAGTTGTTTAATACCAATTTTACTGTTGAAATATTGATTAGCATAATAAAATCTGACAAATGGTTTTAATTTGGATTAATATCTATGGTTTTGTTTTTCTTTTTTTTAATCTCCAATTAAATACTCACTTTGGACTGGGTGTTAGGCAAGAATAAGGCACATTTGTAACCAAGGGCAAGACAGATGTGAGCTAAACCAATTCCTGTATTGCCCGCAGTACCTTCAACCACAGTACCACCAGCTTTCAACAAACCTACCAACAGTTGATATCAAAGAAGTTTGATTATTTGTTAATTCCTTTATTTTACAAAAACATTTTAAGAAAAATATAAATTTAAAGAAGAATATAATAAAGATTTATAAAACAATTTCAAAACAACTTGTGAAAAATTACTTCTGAATAAATAATCAGGAATATATATTTTTTTTTAATAAACACTATTTGGAAATTGAATGAAGAAGCATTTTACCCATATGAAAAAACTTAATGACATTTAAAAAATTTTAAAAACTTCAAGAAGATTAGCAACAAGGAAAAATAAGTAATAATGAAAGACAAATGTAACTCACAAAATCATATTTATAGGTAATCAACATTTGTTTATCTTTATTTATAATATCCTCAATTGAAGATATCCAGCAGACGCAAATTATACACTATGAGGTGACGACAGAGTTACCTTTCTTTTCTGCATCTTTGATAAGATAAAGGGCAGCACGGTCTTTGACAGATCCACCACCATTACAAAATTCTGCTTTGGCTAAAATATTACATCCTGTAACACAGAAAAAAAACAGGGAGTAAGTAATGTTCTGAGCTAGCAGAATCATTGATATGAACATAAGATGCATATTCTGTTTTTAAGAAAAATATAAAGATATATAATATACAGACACATATCAGGAAAGGATTATAGAGATTTTCCAAGCATAGCTTAGATATGGCACAAGGCCAAAAGTATGGGGTACCCAGTGAGGATCGAACTCACTACTCAGTCGTAAGTGTTCTAGCCAGACAAGCTTGCTAACCATTACATTCGCCTTGAGGTGTCCATAGTAATTTTCTAAGCGTAGCTTAGATGTGGCACAAGGCCAAAAGTATGGGGCACCCAGTGAGGATTGAACTCACTACTCAGTCATAAGTGTTCTAGCGAGATAAGCTTGCTAACCCTTACACTGCCTTGAGGTGTCCATAGTAATTTTCTAAGCGTAGCTTAGATGTGGCACAAGGCCAAAAGTATGGGGCACCCAGTGAGGATGGAACTCACTACTCGGTCATAAGTGTTCTAGCGAGATAAGCTTGCTAACCATTACATTCGCCTAGAGGTGTCCATAGTAATTTTCTAAATGTAGCTTAGATGTGGCACAAGGCCAAAAGTATGGGGCACCCAGTGAGGATTGAACTCACTACTCAGTCATAAGTGTTCTAGCGAGATAAGCTTGCTAACCCTTACACTGCCTTGAGGTGTCCATAGTAATTTTCTAAGCGTAGCTTAGATGTGGCACAAGGCCAAAAGTATAAAACCCAATGAGGATGGAACTCACTACTCAGTCATAAGTGTCCTAGCTTAGATAAGCTTACAACCATTACACCCTTGAGGTGTCCATAGTACTTTCTAAAAGCGTAGCTTAGATGTGGCACAAGGCCAAAAGTATGGGGCACCCAGTGAGGATGGAACTCACTACTCAGTCATAAGTGTCCTAGCGAGATAAGCTTGCTAACCATTACACCGCCTTGAGGTGTCCATAGTAATTTTCTAAGCGTAGCTTAGATGTGGCACAAGGCCAAAAGTATGGGGCACCCAGTGAGGATGGAACTCACTACTCAGTCATAAGTGTTCTAGCGAGATAAGCTTGCTAACCATTACAATCCTCTCGAGGTGTCCATAGTAATTTTGTGCGTAGCTTAGATGTGGCACAAGGCCAAAAGTATGGGGCACCCAGTGAGGATGGAACTCACTACTCAGTCATAAGTGTTCTAGCGAGATAAGCTTGCTAACCATTACACCGCCTCGAGGTGTCCATAGTAATTTTGTAAGCGTAGCTTAGATGTGGCACAAGGCCAAAAGTATGGGGCACCCAGTGAAGATTGAACTCACTACTCAGTCATAAGTGTTCTAGTGAGATAAGCTTGCTAACCATTACACTGCCTCGACGTGTCCATAGTAATTTTGTAAGCGTAGCTTAGATGTGGCACAAGGCCAAAAGTATGGGGCACCCAGTGAGGATTGAACTCACTACTCAGTCATAAGTGTTCTAGCGAGATAAGCTTGCTAACCATTACACCGCCTCGAGGTGCCCAAGAATTATATATGATAAAAGAAAAACTTTTTAATGTCAACATGTTTCCTTCCCTGAGGAACTTTATGGGAGGAATGAAATATCTTGGCATAAGCTTTCCTCATCTTTTCTTTTATTTATATTGTCTTTACATATACCATATTTGCTTTTGCCCAACGTGTACTCTCACATAAGCCACCCCTGCCCTTGCATTTTACAAGGATATTTTATGGAAAAAAAATTTAGTATGTTCCATCATATACTTATTGAAATATATTTTAAAATGGTTTTGTAGGAAAAAATCTATGATTTTGTGTCTGTAAGTACAATATTGTAATAGTATGAAATCATGTATTGTCACTTTAATCTTCAAAGGAAACTAAATTAAAATTGCCAAAGCAGAAAAAAATACTGGTACATTTGTATCAATGAATACTAATACATAAAAAAAAAAGCTAACTGATATAAAGCAATCAGTAAAGTACAATAAATGTCAATGAATAGATGGTATTTATCAATTCAACAGGAATTGAATGTTCTCAAGGATTTTTTAATGTACAGCCAAATTTAAAATATGAAGGTTCCGTCAAAAGAAAATTGTCACTTGGCTTGACAGATCCATCTGCAGAATTAAAAGCACAGATACTACACTTTGATCCTAGCCAGTAGTAGTTAGGTATAATTTTAGATTCAATGAATAGATAATTTTTATTCATACCAAAATATTTAAAAAAATTTGGATTCGTCCTCTTGTGAGTTGCACTGCAGTGATGAACAAAAACTTGGAGAGTTGAGTTAAAGGGAGATAACTGAAACATCCAGAAGAGGTATGGCATGTAGAACTAGAATAATCTATACGGGTGGACAAAATAAATGGTTCAGTTCCATATTCCAATCACCTGAAGAAGGCCGGAGCATACAACAACCAAAATGTTGTTAATATGGCAATAAAGATGACAACAACAGTTCGAACAAAGTAAATAATGTAAATAATTCACTTGGATTGTTTCAATATTTTTTTTTTTTTTTTTAGTAACAATTTTTATGCCTGGCAGACTCAGGGTCATCTGACATTCTATCCTGCTGGTACAGGACTTAGTTGTTTCTCATCTATAATGCAGCTGTATTAAGTGAAAGGCAGTTTTTTGTTGCATTTAACAATAGAAAAAGTAACATGTCTAAAAATAAAATATACCATTTATGTGAATGCAAATATGGCATATTTTATTTAAAGAGGAAAATTTTATGCCAACATGTTCTGTTTCTTGTATAAAGTTCCTCAGGGAGATTGTATTTTATATATATATATATATATATTATGAAATGGACTAAGTTCAACAATTATTTTAATATATTTTCTGTATATACATTAGTTTTACTTTTATAGATACAAATATTTAGGTAAATGCTCTGTTTTATGATAAACAGTATTAACTACATTTCATAGAAAACAGGTGTTCTCCATGTAGGATACAGGTTTGATTCCTGTCAGAGGATACATATTTTCTATGAAATTTCTTGGACATTCAGGCTGGTAAATGTTATTAATACTGTTTATTATAAAACAGCATTTACTTAAATATTTTTTTTGTAAAAATAACATATAAACAGAATATAATAAAAATATAGTTTTAAGGTATGCTGTATTTATGGGTTAAAGTGCTCAATATAGAGCATATGAAAATATAAAAGTGGACATTAAGGCCAACCCCCAGTGTTGACAGTCTGTTGACAATCTGTTTCATGCTTAAATGCAATTGTTAGGCTTGACAATTGCATTTAAGCCTGAAACAGACTATCACTGCTGGTTGTTGACCTCAATGTATATATATATATATATATATATATATATATATATATATATATGTGTGTGTGTGTGTGTGTGTGTGTGTGTATATATACTTATGCATGATCAAGTGGTGTTGAAAAGTTCTCCACTTGACCAGGAATCCCTTTCAAAATAAATTCTGATGTTTGGTAATTTGGTCAGATTTTGAGAAGTGGGTCAGGCCAAAGACTATTCTTGCAGCTATTCATATATGTTCTATGTTATCTATGTATACAACTGTGTGCATATATGTGTATATTAACATATATAATGGCTGGCTGCTTGTATCTGAGTATGCTTGTCTGCTAGGACAGCTAGCCAATCCCTATTGCAGATGCCCGCTCAGGCACATTTGTATTTGTTCAACACCCACAGAGCCCACCTGTAGTTTATACTACAACTATGCTGAGAAGACCTTAGTTACAGTTTCTAGGAGAGAGAGCATTATCTGGCATGGTCATCAGTCTGAGCAAGGCCAGTATACTCAAACCTTTGGTCATGTTGACTTGCAACTTCTTGCTAGTTCAACCATCGACAGCTCTGAAATAGTTCCGTCTACCCAATTTCATTTACAAGGTTCAACTTGTCTTTCCCTATCAACAAAACAATGTGGAGTCTAGCAGATATGTCACAGGCTAATTTTATATCAAGCTAAAAGTCAATGGTACATGGCCAATGAGTTCAAACGTTCACTTTCTAACCATGAGACCTGGGTTCAAATCTCATCAAGGTTGAGTTTTTTTTTTTTTTTAAATTAGTATCACTCCAAACAAGGAAGTACATCCACTAACATATTACAGGATGTGGAGGAATTAGTAGCAAAAACATTAGTAATGAGGAGAAAGAAAAGAGCAATCAGGAAGACAGTAGACAGTGACATTGCATTTAAATTTTTGCAGGTTAAAGTTGGTTGGAAAGCATGGAGCTGGAAGGGAGTGCCACAAGTGAGAAGTGTGGGATAAGAAACTGTTAGCATCAAAGTTACTGATACATCTTGCTAGCTCAATTGTAAATTGATGAGATCTTACCCAGTAAGGTGACTTCTTGGTGCTTGAAAACCATACTATGGGTTGGCCCATTAACTTATACATGACAAACATTCATATAATTATTTTGATGCTAAACACCAAAACTATATGAATTGTAGTTTCAATGGGACTAAATAAAATAGCAAAACTATTCATGAAAAGACCAAGCAAAAGAGAAATTGGATGCTACATTTATTTAAAAAAAAAAAAATAACAAAAACAAATACTGACTTTTAGCTTAATATAAAATTAGCCAGTGACATATCTGTTAGACTCCATTTTGTTGTTTTGTTGATAGATGGGGAAAGACAAGATGACATGATTTTGTTCATGATGTCTTTATTAGCAGAAGAAACATTTAGTGAATACAGTAAGAATATTAAAGAAAATTCTAGTTAATTTCTTTGTAATTATCACTCAATTGGAAAACTGTTAGAACAATGTTAGTCAATGCAAGTCATATGAAAAGATATAATTTCAAATGTTGATAATCATTCATATTTGTTAGAGTCACAGATAAAAAAAAAAGAAGGTAGATTTACTCCTGTGTATGGAGCAAAAGAAGAGTTTTATTATTGGCTCATGTTTTACTACTTTATTAATTATGAAAGTATTATAGTGGAACACACCTATTCTATAGTTAATAGACTCTCCCACCTATAATAAGTAGGAGTAGTAAGAGTAACGTGGGGGTCGGTCAGTCAGTCGATGTCAGACGACAGTCGAATACTAAAGTATCAGCGACCACAACTAGATTACTCTGCATTATACCTATTATATCAAGTTCCTAACATTTTGTATGTCGAACTATTTTCATACTGACTTAGTACAAATACAAGAAAAAGGAAAAAAAAAAAAAAAATTTGCTCGCTACAACAATATTTGGCGACAAAGATTCGAAATCATACAGTGGAAGAAAAAAAATTTGCTCACCACAACATTATTTGGCGATGAGGAATTCATATAGTGAACGGAGAAAAAAAAAAATTTGCTCACCATACGAATTTTTGGTGATGAAATTCGTACTCATACGGAGGAAGGAAAAAATTCGCTTGCCATCAATTTTTTTGGCGGCAAAGTCTCAGATTCACACTTAAAAAAAAAAAAAAACTTGGAAAAGTTTTTCGCAAGCCAAGACGTCAACTTAGTGACAAAAAAAATCTGTCGTATTCTCAACTGAGAAAAGAATTTTTTTTTTCTCAATAATACAGTTTTCTCAAATAGGTCATGAATTGCAAATTCGTAGGACCCCTCCTATACAATATTTAAGCATTGTGTAAACTTTTTGAGAAGATGGAAGAATGCAAAAATATATTCCAGGAATTCTTTAAGTTCCAGTTGGAACAACAGATGACAATATTAGAGCAACAGAAGACATTCCAGATGCAACTATAGGAGGAAACTTTTAATAGACAAATGCAATTTCAACAAAAAATGGAACAGATGCATAGGGAGTTTCAAAACAAAATTCTGGAAATAACTGAGAAGAGGAAAGAGAAAAATCTACAAAATGATTCTTTCCCAGAGAATACAATATGGAATTCAATTGAAATATTCACGTACAGTCCAGATGAAGAGATAATTTTTGAGGAGTATTATAAAAAATATGCGTACGTGTATAACGAGGACTGCCACTCGTGGTCTGAAGGAAAGAAGGTTAGGCTTCTTTTAAGCAAGTTAGGAACTGCTGAGCATAACAGATTGGTAAACTACATTTTACCGAAAAAAACTAGCAAGTTAACATTTACCGAGGCAGTAAATATATTAAGTGAATTATTTAGTAAAAAGACATCTCTGTTTCACAAGAGGTGGAAATGTTTGAATCTGATGAAAGATGACAAACAAGACTATATAACGTACGCAGCCAATGTGAATAAGCATTGTGAAGAATTCAAGCTGGCAGAGTTAAGCGCAGACAATTTTAAGTGCTTGGTGTTGGTTCAGGGGCTGGTATCGGAAAGAGACGCAGAGTTGAGAAAATTAGTACTGGCAAAATGGGAAAGCAATCCAAGTGTTACGGTACAGAAGTTGGCAGAAGACTGCACAAGATATGTTAGCATAAAGAAAGATTAAAAAATGATAAAGCAGTCTGGCATTTCGCATGTAAGGCAAATACGCTACAAAAAAGAAAGTCAGTCTACCAAAAAGAATTCTAAAATTGTGGATTATCCAGCAAAAAGTGAAATACCAGAGAAAAATAAACAAAAACTCCCGAAGCCATGTTTTGCTTGCAGTGAACTACACTGGTACAGATATTGCAATTTTAGTAATAAAAATTGTTTCAACTGTAAAAGAGTGGGTCATAAAAGCACGCATTGCAGGTCAAAAAATAAAGACAATAAAACAAGAAAATTAAAGTCCAACGAAGTGAACGATGGAATAACCAGAAAATTTGTTACTGTCAAAATAAGTAATAAAAAAATAAAAATGCAACTTGACACTGGTTCTGACCTATCTATCATAAATTTGCATACGTGGAAGAAGTTGGGGAAACCAACTTTAATGAAGACAAAGAAAATCACGAGGTCAGTGACGGGAGAAAAATTACAATTTATTGGCAAATTTGTTACAAACGTCACGTTAAATAAAAAAACGCAAAAAGCTAAACTATTTGTCATAGAAAATACCACAAACTTAGTTGGTACGAATTAGATAACAGAATTCCAATTATAGGATCTACCAATAAATTCTTTCTGCTACAAGCTAGAAGGTTTAAACTCCGAAGCCCAAAAATTAGTAAAGAAACTTAAGGAAACATTTCCTACTGTTTTTTTCTCCAGGTTGGGGAACGTGTACCAAGATGGAGGCAAAATTCCAGCTAAAAGAAAATGCTCAGGCGGTATTCAAAAAGAAAAGGAATGTGCTGTTTGCCTCAATTGAACAGATAGATAAAGAATTGGACAGATTAGAGAAAACCAGTGTATTTAAAAAAGTTGAGTATAGTGAATGGGTAACACCAACGATATACGTGAAAAAAAAGATCCAGAAAGTAAAGATGAAGCCGACACCGAGAAAAACTGGGGAGCGAGTTACCCGCAGCCAAGGACATGTAGTATTGTTAAATGATTTAAGTCAACTGAAGTCACCAGTGAAAACGTTAAGAAGCACAAGATCAACAGAAGTAAAGCTAGAGGCTGAACAAATAGAACCACAAGAAGAACCTACAGAAACTGTGACTCCATCCTTATGAAGCTCAAAGCGGAAGGTTGTTTCTGGTAACACTATGGAGGTACAAAAAAAATAGAAAAGCGGATTGACAATATGATGTACTTGGTGAAAGGCGAAAAATTCACGTGCAGTAACAAGATCAGACAATGTTTTTCAGATGTGGTTGACAGCAGTCCCACGGAAGAAACGCCGATGGAGGTGATTTTTGATACATTTGATTTAACAACGCCTGCAACAATTTTACCTGAGGAATGCCGATCCAGGAGAAAAAGAAAGGCAACTGATCATTTAAAAGTGGATCAAAAATGTACGAGATACGCTACGATGTTGCTAAAAAAAAGTTTTTTTTTGTTTTTTCTTCATATTTCCTGTACAAAATAAATAAAGAAACCTGTTTACTCCTACGAAGTAAAGTTTTAGGAGGGGGGTATTATAGTGGAACACACCTATTCTATAGTTAATAGACTCTCCCACCTATAATAAGTAGGAGTAGTAAGAGTAACGTGGGGTCGGTCAGTCAGTCGATGTCAGACGACAGTCAAATACTAAAGTATCAGCGACCACAACTAGATTACTCTGTGTTATACCTATTATATCAAGTTCCTAACGTTTTGTATGTTGAACCTATTTTCAGACCGACTTAGTACAAATACAAGCCTCCACTGTGAAATCCCTCCACAACAAAAAGCATTAAAGTTATTTGATAAACATATAAAAACCAGTCACACTTGTTTGCTTATTAGATGGTTGGTTTGGTCATGCTAAAGTCAACATATAAAATGAAGTCAACCCTATATAGATTTGAACATCAAACAGAGGTAAACAAGCAAGTTATATATGAATACTATTTTTTATTGATATTGCACTTCATCTTCATTATGTAAGCATTTTCAGGTCAGAATGAAAGACAAATCAAGTTTTTCCACTTTTATTTCTTCACTTTTGTTCAGATTCTATATCCTACTAATATGCATGAATATGAATGAAGAAATATAATGATAAAATGAACTTTGGAAATGTTACTAAAGGATTTTTTTGTTGTAATTATTTCAATGAGTCACATTTTTTTTTTCAAATAATATTGATATGTTTTTGCTATTCAGACCAGCATGTTCATCTTGGTTGTTATACTTTGTTATGGCCATTATACCCTCCAGCCTTTTTCAGGGATTTGTCTTTATACTTGGTATATACTTGGTATAAAGACAAATACTTTATACCTTGGAATTCTGAAGTGAACTCTTTATTCACAGGGGTAGATTTTCATTTTGCTTTCTATGTTGAAGGGAGATAACTCGTATCAGTTAATACAGACCAGTCTTATTCACCTTTGTACCACTTGTCCATTTCTTCTAGAGCATGTGACTTTTCAGCATTACTATGCCCAAGGATTAAACTCACAGCTACCAAAACATTGTGAGTATAACAACCAAGATGAGTATGCTGGTCCAGATAACAAAACATTTAATGATATTTCGACACCTCAAAAACTTTGACAATAATACTGATATGTTAAACTCATTTAAAATAAATAAAAGCTAAATTTAACATTTTTATTATATTTCATTTAAGCCAGATAACTGAATAAGATATTTTCATATGAACTTTAAGCTTTTTTGTCCTATTAATCAAAATTTAGTAAAAAAAAAAAAAAACTGAATATATATTTTTTTACATTTTTCAAAAAAATACAGATAATTTTTATCTTGATTAAAAAAAAAAAAAAAGTTTTGGAAATTTTTTCTCAGGCCAATAACTAGTCATTAATATCTATTTATGTCATGAAAAAATAAAAAAAAGTCACACATTAGAATTGATTTTTTTTTTTTTTTTTAAAGAAACTGTCTTTTCTTTCTGTAAAACTGTAACGTAGAAAAATTAATAGTTTACTTGTTTCTTCACTGACTTTTTGCAGTCTCACCAGAGGGGTTCTGTCAAAATAAAAAAAAGAAATTATATAGATAAGAAAAAAAAAAAAAAACATGTTAATTTATGCAATTTTTTTTCTTTTAAACTAAAGCTTTCCTTTGGTTACTGAAAAATGGAACTTTGTATTGTCAATATAAAAAAAAAAAACCTTACAGGGACACAGAAAACTTTGGGCTTAAATTAAGAATGTAGAAATGGATAAGACAACCATTTTATCATCATCTGGTTATTATCAATTATATCTCAATGTACATAAAGCTGGTTGTGTGTATGTGCACGTGCACATATTATATAAAACTATTGTAAAATAACTGCTATTTACATCCATGTGTGTTATCATTTTAGACACTACTTGTTATTTATAGCTATAACAGCATACCTTTTATATCTAGGCCAACTTAGTTTTTACTTAATGGAGAATCAATTTTTACATTTGCACAAAGATCAAATTGCAACAATTGTGTTTTGTTATTCATTTGATGTTTTGTGATCTTTATAAATAAACAACAGTTATTGGTAATAGCTTTTATAATTGTTAAGCTATTCAAATTAAGCTATTTTCTTGATATTTTGATCACAGTTTGACAGTAAAAGGAAAGAAGCAATGTATGAAATTAGTAAATGTTAAGATGTTTTATATATTGAAAGTTTAAAAAATCTAAAATTTTATTTCTGAAATATTTACTTTTAAGTATTATAATAACAGTTACTAATTTGTTTTGTTTAATAATCAATTTATTTATCTTTATTAAGTTTATTTAAAACAAATATTTTATTAAAAATGAGATGTCTTGACTAAAAAATACTTGAATGGAAAAAAAGTGAATTTAATATTCATGCTTTAATCTTTTTTTCATACATTTTATGAATTACAAAATGTAATTAAATAAAATAAAATAAAATTGAGGAAAAAAGATTTTCAAGTCTACTTTGGAAATATATTATCTCCAAATAAATTAAAAATGAGTTTTCTAAAATATTTACTTTGCTTTGCAAATTATAAAAAAATGAAAAACCAAAATAAAAAAAGAAAAAAAAAATACATATTTACTATTTTTTTATCACTGAAAATAATATCTGGCTTAAAGGATAAAAAAAAGCATTCATTGTTAATTCCTGTACATTTTAAATATTTATCAAGTTTTGTTTTTCTTATTTATTCATTACCTATTCATTTCTATTTCATAAATGGTGTTTTATAAAATACAGGGGAAAAAAATCATGTATATACACAATGTGCGATGGGTAAATTGTCGCCATTTTATAGTTTTAATTTTGTGCATGCATGTTGCTTGTTTTTGATTTTGTCAACTGCATTGACATGCTGTACTGCTTGGCACTCATGCCTGAACATTTCAGAGTATATGGGTGTCAATCTGAGGACAGTGAAGAGGATTTGAAAAGAGCTGGATGAGTCTAATGATGATTACAAAGGTACAGCAGCAGCTTGGAAAATTCACTCTGATCATTCTGATAAGAACTCCCAAATTTGTTGGTGAGGGCCTGACTTAATACAAAGGCCTACATCAAGTGCCTTGTGGAGGTAGTGCTACCCTGGGTCAAGAGGGTGGCTGCTGGAAGACCCTATTTCTGGCAACTGGACTCTGCACCATGCCACACAAGCAGGAGAACTCAGTCATGGCTGTCAGACAATTTTTTTGAGCATGTCACTCTTTACATCTGGCCACCTAACTCCCCAGACTGCAATCTACTTGATTATTATATGTGGGGTGCAGTTGAGCAAGAGATCAACAAAATACCTTGTAACACTAAAGAGGAACTGAAGGCAAGGATTATGGCAGGATTCACCAATTGAAATAAATTACAAAGTTGCAGGAGATTCTGAAGTCATTTGGAGGTTGTGGTTAAAGCCAATTGCGATTTTATTGACTTAAATTTACTCTTTCATAATTTAAATTTGAACAAGAGAATAACTCCTATCCAAAATATAGGAGAGAACCAGAAGATGGAGGTCACATCGGCAAGATCAATGAGTAATATTGAAATGCATCATTTTTTCCACAAATTATAATAATGATTTAAATTCAATCATCATTTTTCTTACAAAAATGATGTGACATGCAGCAAAGTGCGGGTAATTCGGATAGTAAATCAAAAAATACTTCATCTCAAATATGAGCATCCACCAAAAATAAAGTTTAAGTAATAAAAATCTGTTGGATTAATAAATAAACTATCCACCCCTTTTTTTAGAAATTGCTTTATGTTAGGATATGGAGCTGAGCAGATGTCTATTTTGGGAGTTTAATTTTGGGGAGAAAAATCTGTATTTAAAGAAACTATTCAACTTTGTTTGGTCATCGACACACTCTGTAGCCAAGAATGCAAAGCATTTCAGATCTAATGACATTTTTCTCTAAAGGAATGCAAGTTCAAATCCTGCCAGAGAGTGCATATTTTTCTCTAATAAAATTTCTTGAATATTCAGGCAGGTAGACAAAAATAAATAAATATACTGTTTAATAAATAAACAAAGCATCTAGTCAAATACGAGTATCTACCAAAAATAAAGTTTAAGTAATAAAAATCTGTCAGATTAATAAATAAAAAATCCACCCATTTCTTTATATATAATGATAATAATAAGTGAAAGAACAAATAGAAACATTTATAAATCTAACAGGTTTTGCTTTTATTAAAGCTACCTCAGAGAATGAGATATGGAAAAAAATAAAGAAAAAAATTTACGGTAGTTTTATTTTTATGCCGTTTGGTTTTCATTGGTTAATCAGGCTTTGCAGGCATTTGACTTGTCAAGCAGCATTTCTGTGTATAATTTATGTGTGTCAGTGTATAATAATTCTAGTTTGTCTATGTGGGATTTGCATGATAATGTATGTGTGTCTCTAGCCATCATTACTTATGTTTGGAGGTTGCATGTTGATTTGAGGACATTTTTACATCAATACCAATTGTGGTAGTTAATGTTCTGTTATCCCAGTACAGATCTATATTGTTTTACTTCCCCTTTGTTTGTTAGGTTAGTCACCATTTTTGACCCCTTAGTTATCACCAGAACCAGCACAGTAAAAGCAGTTATTTTTATCATCCTTGTAAATCTTGTCCCCAACAATATCATCGCCAGCATGTAGCCTTTAAAACCTTTTATTTCTGCTTTCGTCTCTCTTATGATCCTATTATTTGGGCATTGTTTAATGTAGCCATTTTTTATACATTTATTTTATGTTTGTATCCCTCTAGTATCCTTTTCATCATGTGTTCACTGCTCACACACTGTTCCCAAATGCAACTTTAGACATATTCATGTATGCAAAGTATTTACTACTTTCTTCTACCCATTCAGTCAAATAACCTTGCTTCTATGTTCAAGCCTCTGGCTGCTTTTGTCTTTTTACCCTTTTGTTTGTTATTCAGACAAAACTAGTCTTATATGTGTATCTATTTCTTTTTCCAGTTTTACCCTTTTGGCTTTTAAACCTGCTGATGAACAGGATTTCCTCTTCAGTCTTAATTTCCATAAGGGGTTTCTCTGGCTGTCTTGAGGTATGCACACGTATGAGATGGACATGTACTTGGAAGGCAAAACAGTTAAATATACATTAGATTCTTTAAGAATAGATTTAATAAAAATCAGTGATGTAATATAGTGATTTTTATATTTGTTTATAGTTGGTAAAATTTTTATCAAGAGTTCAGGACTTCCTTAAATTATTTTGAATGTAAAGAATTTATCACATAAAGTGCTTGCAATGTAGATACACTTACAATGAAGAGACATCTTAAAGTCTAAAAGCCAGCATCTGTGAACATAAAAGATCTATGTTGGGTCAATCATTTAAACTTACTTGTAATACACAGGAACAAAACTTTGATTTTACAAATGGTATCTTAATTAAAAAAATTATATATATATATAATTCTTGATGTTTATGTTTTAATTAATGCTTAAATGGCAAAGTAAATGTTTTGTTTATATGTCTGCACTTACTCATTATTTAATTTTTCTTATTTAATAGTTCTTTACTTGGCTTGGTGGTATCTTAAACATTACGATATTAATTATGGAAGTTTACGTTTATAAGTGTATTTCTTTGTTGTTGTTTGAATATATATATATAAAATATAAAAGTGGACATTGAAGTCAACACTCAGAGGCGACAGTCTGTTTCATGTTAAACACAATCATCAGATAAGCATACATATAGCCTGATGATTGTGTTTAGCATGAAACAGATTGTCAACTCTGGGTGTCTACTTCAATGTCCACTTTTATATAATATATATATAATATTTATTCAAACAACACAAAATACAGTTATAAACCAAACCTTCCATAATTAATACTCTAATACTTGATACAACCAAACCAGATAAAAAACAAATGACTAACTACTAAATAAGATAAATTAAATGATAGCTAAGTGAATACATATAAACAAATGTTTACTCTGTCAGTTAAGCATTCACTTAAAAAAATATAAATAAATAAAAAAACTGAAGATACCTATATTTCCCAAATAACCCTAACTTAAGAAAACCCCAGTACATCCAAAAAAATGAATTACCCTAAAACCCAAAAAGTTCTATCTGTGATACCAAAAATGACATTGTTACATTATCTTTGACACTCAAATCTGAAAGAGAAAAAAAGAAATAGGGAAAGAGTATAAGGAGACAAGAAAATGATGAAAAGAAGAAATAACCACAACATTTGACACATATAAACATACAGACACACTTAAATGCACACACAAGAGAGAGAGAGAGAAAAAAAATAAACTTATCACCAATAAATAGTGCATAAATTAATTTTCAACTTAGTATAAAAATAATGAAAATAAGAAAATCCACAGTCAATTGCTGAAACCTGACAATTGGACCAAATGATTACAAAAAGTTTCAGGTATGAAACACTGGAGTCGAGGTGCTGATTAGAGGATCAATCAGCTAAGTGACAAATTTTATTAATATTAATCATATATATATATATATATATATATATAAGTTATTCTCCTTTTCCAAGCATACCGGTATGCTAGGGTGGTTAGCTAATCCCTGTTATAGACATCTGCTCAAGCACATTTGTGTTTGTTTATACTGCAACTATACTAGACAGACCTTAGATATAGTTTCTGGGAGAGAACGCATAGTCTAGAATGACCAACACTTTGAACAATGCCAGTATACTCAAATCCTTAATCACAATGACTTGTGACTTCATGTTATATCTTTTAATCATCTGAAAGAATACTTTTTACCTTCCATCAACATGACTGAGGCTAATCTCTAAGAGAGTGACACATTGTTCCTTCTCAGGCTAATATTTTTTGTTGACATGAAGTAGAAAGATTATATTGAATCAATTGTTAGGAAAGTTGCTTCACTGTGTCATGCTAGACAATTTTCCTCACCAGAATCTATCTTACACATATATAAGTCTGCTATTCATCCATGCATTGAATATTTCTGCTACATCTGGTCTAGTGTTTCTGCTATATATTTAGGGATTCTTCATAGAATACAAAAAAGTATCTATAATGCTATTGGTCCTGACTTGACATTTCAAGTTTCAATCACTTTCCCACCACTGTAGTGTAACTTTCTTGTGCCTTTTCTATAAATTTTTTTTAAGGTAATTGTTCTGATGAAATTTCCTCTTTGGTATCTAGACTTTATGAATTTAAGCACAATACTAGTTTGGCAGGAAGGTCTCATCATTTTACAGTTAAAATGGCTAGATGTAACCACAAGTTCTATGCTAACAGTTTCTTCTCTCATACATCTTGTTAGTGGAACACTCTTCAGGCTTCTTGCTTTCCAGTCAACTTTGATCATCAAAAATTTAAAAACAATGTCAATCATTATCTTCTGTTTTCTTAATTCCTGTTATTTTATTGTTCTCTTTCCTTAATAATATTTTTTCTCATATTTTTCGTAACCCCTTGTGTCTTAGTAGCTTTATTCCCTTGCTTGGAGTGATATGATTAAAAAAAGAAATGCTAGCACAGCCATCAATGCTTTCTGAACAGTTCCATCTACCTAATTTCCCTCACAACTCGGGGTATAGGTTTTAGGTACTTTCTAAAGGTGCCACACACTGGCGGGGAGGGGGGGGGTCACCTGACCAGACCAATAACATCAAAATGTCACGTTCTTAGCAAATTGGCCCTGGTGAAAATCAAACCTTAGTCTCAAGCTCAGAAAGTGAATATTCTAACCACTCAGTTATACATGATAAAATGTAGTTTTAAGGTATGTTATATTTATGGGTTAAAGTGCCCAATATCAGGGATAGAGTGTATGTAAATATAAAAGTAGACACTGAAGAGATGAAAGTCTGTTTCATGGTAAACACAAATATGGCCTGATGATTGCGTTTAACATGAAACAGAATATCTGGGTGTTGACTTCAATGTTCACTATATATTCAGGTTTTTTATCCGTACATTATTCCTGTAAATTTGAAACTTTAATGCACAACAAATATTCCACTTCAAATCAAATGTAATCTCTAAATAAAATAAATTTTTACACACAAAATGTTATTACAAGTTGCACCAATGATTTTTTCTGAGAGGACACAATTTTCATAGTTCATGGGAATGATCATGGGTCATATATGTTTTGTGATGAGCAATTCAGAAAAAAAAGACAGCCATCTTCACGCCAGCACAAATTTGGTAATTGTTCAGATGAGCTCTTCACTATAATACCTAGACTTTTTGAATTTAAGCACAGTACTAGACTGGCATTGAGATCTCATCAATTTATAGTTGAGCTGGCTAGATGTAACCATTAATTCTATGCTAACAGTTTCTTTTCTCACACTTCTCACTTGTAGAACTCTCTTCTGGCTCTATACTTTCCAGCCAACTTTAATCTGCGACAATTTAAATGCAATGTCAATTGCTATCTACTGTCCTCCTGATTACCCTTTCCTCTTCTCGATTATTATTAATGTTTCTGTTCCTAATTTTTCCACACTCTGTAACCCTTTGTGTATTAGTGGCTTTACTGCCTTGCATGGGTTGATACTGATTTAAAAAAAAAAAAAAACACATGCAAAGAGAAAATATTTTTAAATAGAGATGCAAACTGATGTTGACTAGTCAAATCTGCATAACTCTTCTTATATTTTTGTGGTTTAAACTCAAAAGTGGCAGGTGTAAGCAACATGAAAGTATAAATATTTTCTTGAAGCAATTTAAAGAGTTTCTGTGAACAAATTTTATGTTTATTCACATTTTTTTACAAGTAACATGAAAATTTTCAGTGATCTTTTATTGTGATTACATCATAAAATTAATCATATACTTACCGACCTACCATACCAGAAAAGCCATCACGAATCTGGAGAAAAAGAAAATAAGCATGAGATATTTATTGACTTAAGATTTACTTTTGCTTTTGCCAAATTAAAATCATCACAGTCAACCCTTCTTTGCATACCAAAAAATTTTTAAAAATTCTTTATTCAATGCTTTCCTTTATAAGAAAGTCATTTTATGTTGATTTGAGATTGCTTTTGACACACAAAAATGATACACTTTTAAAAGCTCTTTTCTTTCTTTTTATGTGTCATGTCTTTTCAGGACATAGGCGATCACAACTCTCCACCTCCCTCTATCCCTTACAGCTCTCAGCAAGTTCCTTCCCTCTACTTCCTCACCCAGACCACATTCTGTCATCCACCTGCTCAATCTCATCAGGTATGTCACACACTGCTTTCTCTTGTCTCTCTTTCCCTCAAAGAGGTCAAATACCTGTGAATATCAGGTTCTCAAAGCCCTCCTTCCTCATTATGTGTCCCAGAAACTTCAGAATCATCTTTCTGATGTTAAGTATAAGCCTTCTCCTTGTTTACAACCTCTCTAAGACTTCATCGTTGCTCACATGCTCAGTCCATGATATCTTTAGCATCCTTCTGTAGAGCCATATCTCCATCGCCTCGAGTCTCTTCTTCATCTTTGAGGAAAGCTTCCAACATTTGTTGCCATAAAGAAGAACAGATGTCATGTAACAGCTCAGTATTCTTTTCTTTGTTACCAAAGAAATTTTCCCATTCTTATTTTAACTAATATCACACGTTTATAAATTCAGTCAGTCCATAGATGAACAAGATCAGTTCCTACAGTGCATTTGTAGATAAGTCAGAACAAGTAGATACAGCAGTTATTTTGTGTCAGTTAAAATGTATGTCATACATTTTACCTTTCATTGCATATAAAACAGTTTTAGAGAAATTTATGACAGTGGAAAAAGTTTTTGGATGATGTGTTTCAACCTTCAGGACTTCATTGGACTAAAGTGATGTTTAGGTTGATGTTATTACACATGTGCACAAAGGAGAAGGGATGCTGTAAATTTTAAGTAAATTTTTTTTTTTTAATATATATTTTAGATATAGTCTGATTTTTAAAAAAAGTGTTTTTAATTTAAAAATATTTTTTCGCTAAAATTGTTCATGATATATAAAAATTTATATATCATTTTTCCATATAAAACACTTCCAAATATACTAAAACACTTTGAACATAATATTTTTGCCACTCACATGGTAACAACCAATTGAGAATTACATTTCAGACACATCCAGTTTTAAACAATAACTGACTTGGGAGCTATGAATAGTTCCTTTAATTTTGACAAAAGTGCATCAAGCAATTATTTAGTTGATGATACTGTGAATTAAGCCAATTTTAAATAATAACAACAAAAGCTGAAATTAAAAATAGTAACTGCCTTAAGAAGATCTAAAATCTAAGTATTTACTAAGCTTAGATTAGTAAAATAAAAATCCAAGTAAATGTACAGAAATAGTAAATATATTATTTATAATTTTCTGATGGAAAGTGATCATGTTGGATACAAATCCAGGTACATGTAGTTTACTCAAAATACAAAAGACTAAGAATTTGTGCAGTAAAATTAGTTCACATCATTTTCATGGGAATTGGAGAACAAATGATTTTCTTGGCAACACATTTGGACTGAGTGGATAGAAAAATAAATGTATATGACATCTATCTATATTTCTGAGATTAGGTATTGTAACTATTTACATCATTTGGCCCGTTGTCTTCATCTTTATTGCCATATGCATGACATTTCAGCTGTTGTATGCTCCAGCCTTCTTCAGGTGATATATGTTGGAATTTCAAACCAAGCCCTTTATTTAGTCCACAGGGGCAGATTGTTCTAATTCCACATGCCATGTCATTTTGAATATATCAGTTTCAGTTGATTCCCATTACTAACTCAACTCTCCAAGTTTTTATTCCTTCTGCTGTGGCCATGTATTGAACTCACAACAAAGGATAAAAGTATTGGTTGAGTAATCCAAAAAGTGACTTGACCCTGTGGAATTGTGCATGGATTCCACCTATTTTTGCGTGCACATATTGCACCCCTTCCTTCCACAATTGACTAGATATAGTAGTAGACAGCCCCCTTTGTGGCCGTCGTGAGGAAGTTTTGCTGGCTGGCTGCTCCTGGTTCTAGCTTGAACAGGATTTGAAGTTTTCCCACACATTCTCTGACGTCACCGACGAACAGCGTTTTTCAAGTCAGTCACGGCCTGTTTCCAGAAGAAGAAGGTTGACTCATTTATTTCATGCCCCCTTACCCATACGCGGGCCGGAATATCTTAACCAACCAAAAATTTCCTAGTGACTCCTTGGTTCATTATGCCGAATCTTCTTACTGTGATTTGCAACTTTTTTTCAAACAACATGTTTCAACTTTCCTCCGTTTTCTGCTAATCACACTTTTACATTGGCCTTTTCCTCGTCTTGATGCAAACAACTTGTTCGAATTTTCGTCCGTTTTCTGCTAGAAAATGTAGAGACTACGACACCGTCGTCATCACACTTTTCCAAGACTAATTCTTCGTCCTGATGTGAACAACTTGTTCGAACTTTCCTCTGTTTTCTGCTAGAAAACGTAGAGACTACAACACTGTCGTCATCACACTTTTCCAAGACTAACTTTTCGTCCTGATGCGAACAACTTGTTCGAACTTTCCTCCGTTCACTATTAGCCAACGTAGAGTTTTTTTTCGACACGGTCGATTGATGAACTTTTTATACGCCTTTTGAACTCTAACCTTTCAAACCAGTTCAAAAAAAAAAGATAACATTACACACACATTATAAAACCTCGCAGTGAGTATTTTTCCTTGTGTACGCATACACTTTTGCACCAGTAGACTATATTCCAGAACCTTACTTCTGAAGAAACTTTTCCCGCTTTAGCCATTTTGATTTTCATTTTGGCGCGGAACATTAACATTACTACATTATACAATCTGCCTACTGGCTAAGAACAGTCCTTACTTTTTCTGATAGTCTCCACTGTTGAGACAAGATTATTTGTTATTCAAATAAAGTTTATATTTGTTTTCCACCAGACTCGTTTTGTCATTACTCCTGGCTATCTATATTTTTGCCTTTTGATGCACGTGTTTAATACAGTCATTTTTATTCTATCCTTTTTTATTTTACTTTGCTAGTGGATTCGGTAGTCGTGAGTGGTGTCTGGCACAAGGCCACCTTTTTGTAGGCCAGCACTGCATGCTACCTGGGTCCCCTACAACCCAAAGAGTTATGAGTTCAATACTTGGTGACAGCAGAGGGAACAAAAACTTGGAGAGATTTGTCACTGAAACTGAGATGTCCCAAAAAAAAAAAAAAAAAAAAATGAAAAAAAGGCATGGCACATAGAATTAGAACAATCTACCCTCGTGGACGAACTTAAATAAAGTGTTTGGTTCAAAATTCCAATGTAGATCACCTGAAGAAATCCAGAGCGTACAACAGCTGAAACATTGTGAATATGGTAATAAAGATGATGACAACAGTCCAAAGAATGTATGTGAATAAATAAGAGAAACAGAAAGAATGATTTGCTTGTTTTGATGTACAGTGTTGTTACTAGGTCAGGGGTCGAGTGTTGAGCAATAGAAGTGTTGAGTTGGGTGGGAAAATAGACTACCAAAAAAGTGAGAAAAAAACGAGATAGAAATATTTTCATCTGTGCTGGTCGAACTCTCTGCCTCTTGACGAGGCTATGCCGCCCACGAATTTCGTTCGGGGAGGTAGACCGACCCGATCCCGTTTATGCGGGGTCTACGGGGATTTTTTTGGCCAAGCCTACGGGCTCGGGAACCCCACATTAAATTCAGCCTTGTACCACATGTAACTGCGTGGGGCAGTTGATAGATACTCTAGCTGGCGGGTTTCGTGGGTAGCACGCACCGACTCTGCTTCAATTTACTGAATCTTAAACCAGAACAACAGCTGTTTTTCTTACAGTGAAAAACTATTTTTTAGAAAACCGTGTCACGGTGACAGTTAAGTAAGTCAACTAAAACTTTTTTTTTTTTTTTTTTTTTACTAATAAGTAATTTTCGATACGAACACATTTGCTGTGTTAGTGGCTATGGCATGGTTCAATAGTGGAATTCATATATAGACCTACTTGACAACAATTTTTGCATTTAATAAATTAAAACAAACGGAAAAGCTAAAAAATAGCATTTAAAAACGTCCAACACGACAATTACCAATTATTTTGTTTGCAAAACAAGCCAAGCGCAATATTTCCAGTGTCTCTCTTTTCTTTTTTGCTGTTAATGTGATTATTTTCTAAATCAAAATCAAATTTATACAAAAAAAAAGTGAGATAACGTTTAAGTACAGATAAATAAATTATAATAAATATGAAAAGTTAGGAAATGTTAATCAACTAACCTGAAGAGATTCATGCGAAATATTAGAATAAGTTCTGGAAAATGATATAAGAACTTTTTCCAACTTTTGTCGATGAAACAACATCATGATTCCAAAAGAAATTGACACCCAAATCCGGTGTCGATGGAAAAAGAAGCATCACTTTACTTTAGTTCCTATTGTTGGACAAAAAAAAGCATACTTGGAAGATAACGTTCTGAATGGAATTTTTGTGGTAATTTCTTCAAAATATTTACAAGTAAACTAAAGCATCATAATGTCAGAGATGTTCGGCTTTTTAATTGTCTTTTGGAGCCACTAAATTGATTTTATGTTTAACTTTTTAATCAGTAAAGCTAGAAATGTTTTTTCTTTTTACCAATTCGTATTGGTCACAAAATAATTGAAGTATATAAATATTTCATTATTTATTTATTATGGAAAAATATGTAGATAGGCAAGTGAAACAAGCTTAAAAAGTGGTAATTCAGCAGATGTTGGAAAAAATGAAAACAAAACAAACATCGGATATTAAAATGGAAGAAACTAAAAATCTAACGCAATCTTTTGTTCGCTCAAAAAAGCACAAAGTAAAATACAACAGAACACACAGCCGATTTTGATAGCTTTTTATTGTAAAACTAAAAAATCAAATAAAATGACCATCCTTAGACTCCTTTGAAATCGGACGCATTTTTCTTTTATACCAACAAAGCGTGCAATTACAATGGGTTTTTTTAGTAAAAATTTATGTTACAGAAAAAAATACTAGACCACTGTTTCTCAAGCTTTTCTTATGACCCATTTTTGGTGTAAAAAATATTCAGATGCCCGTAAGTACAAATAAAAATTTATTTACAGAAGTAAAAAAATGTACAGTAGAAAATATATAAATGTTGACTACACCGTTTCTGGTGTCTATCTATCAACTTGTCAAGGTGAACTTCCAAGTGTTATAAACATGCGTGTGGTAGCACGAAAGAATAAACGAACAACAAGTCGGTAAGGCAAAAGAAAAGAAAGACAAGAATTAAAAATTCTTTGTATTGCTGATGATAATGAGCGTGTAGCGGTAGTGACGGCCTAAATAAATCCGTATATTTTTACTTTACAAATGTGTAAAGCAAACGAAAAGCAATCAAGAGAAACAACACATAAACCGTTCTTATAACAAACAATATTCATTTTTAATTTTACTGTCTGTATTAAATACAAACGCAATCAAGTGTGTGACTTTTAGTAAGTTGTAATAATACAGCAGGAGTTATTTCCTTTTACTGTTATTTGAATAAGATTTATATTTTTTATCTGTACTCACAGAAAAGATTTCAGTTGACAAAATAATAGTAAGTTTCAATGGAAAGAATGTTCTTCGATAAGAAGGTGTTGCAGGCTGAAATTCGGTGTAAGAGGAGTGAATAAGATGAGTTCAAAGATGTGCAATGTTCGTACGTGCGTGTGTGTCATAGCGTATGTAAAACACCTCACTGAACTATATAGTTGTGGTTCTGAGAAAAAAACAGAGGAAAAAGAGAAAGAGTTGAAAATATGTCTTGTATTTATAACCAACGTGTTCACGTAACAGGCTTCAGAGAGCATTTCTTCTGATTTTGGTGGAAAAATGGTTTTGAATAACGCGTAGGCGTTGTTGCCAATTTGAAAAGGTCAACCGCACGGACGTTGGTGAGAACACGATATTAGGATTAATTGACCAATAAGGAAACAGAGAAATAGTAAGGTAGGATTTTAACTCTGTGATCCACTTTTTGCACAGAATTTGGTCGATCTCAGTGCTGTTACGTAGGAAATGGATTGGAATCTTTTTTAACTAATGGAATTAGATCACAAATAAAATATTGTTAAATTGAGGTCGGACACTAAAAGCGGAATGTCTGTAATGTGTACAAGAGACGCGGCTTTTGAAAGAAGGGTAGAGTTAGAACACGGTGTCGGTTGACCAAAGTCGTCGTCGTGACCTTGAGAAAAGCTATTGGCGTGGTAGGGCAAACTTTTCCTATTCGTCGTGAATCTGTCTTTACCAATACAGAGAATGCGAGCAGAGTGTCTATATACATGGGAGAGGTGTGACGATTTGGAGTAGGGCGGGTTTCGCGTGGATATGTATGTTGGGCCGGTTGACCGAAGTCATGGTGGTAATGTTGAGAGCCTGTTGGGCGTCGACAGCTGGCCCGTCCGCCACGATTCTGTCCCAGTCGTTTATGAGCAACTTTCTTAAAAGCAAATTGTAGAAGTTCCTGAGTTCTTTTCTTCGTGGTTTTTCTCTGGTGGCAACGTTCGTGAATGGCTTATTTTATATTTTTGATAGGATTTGTTTTGTGGTCCGGATGTGATGCCTGGAGCCCCTGTGCAGAGGATAGCTTTTTATTTTGGTTTTGTTTACCTAGCGTTCACATCTGGTTCAGCTTCGGGCGTAAGTCTTCTCTCTTCTCAATGTGCAATAAATTATATTTCTTTTTTAGTACATCATTTGCTGCAGAAAATCCCACCTCAACCAATTAGGTGGTGGGAAAACCAAGTAAGAATGATGAAAGAGCAAGGGATGGGAGGATTTTACTTTCACCCATTCAATCAATACTTCCCTTTCAATTCTCCCCGTCAATACTTTGTTATCTATCTTTCAGTTGAAGAAGGCCAACTGCAGGTCTATTAAAAAACAAAAACAAATTCTCAATCCCACTTGTGGGCCTCAGTAGGGTCAATGCAAGGGACTCCAAATCTATCGTATGCCCCCAACCTATGATACTGTTGTAGAGTTCGAATCCTCGTCGTCAAGTGTTGTAGAGTGGTTTCACAGTGGAGGCTTGTATTTGTACTAAGTCGGTCCTAAAATAGGTTCGACGTACAAAACGTTAGGAACTTGATATAATAGGTAATGATGCAGTAACCTAGTTGTGGTGGCTGATACTTTAATATCCGACTAACGGTCGTCCGACATCGATTGACTGAGCGACTCACTTGTTACTCTTACTACTCTTACTTATTATAGGTGGGAGAGTCTATTAACTATAGAATAGGCGTGTTCCACTATAACAGATACGTCCCCACTCTATTACATCTCAATTTTCATAAGGTAGTATTCATATAAAATACAAATTTTATTGTTATGTACGATAATGGATCATATGCAATATAGGTAAACAATTCAATTAGAAAAATCGAAAATAAATACAATGCATCTAGATACAAATTAGAAGTTATAATAAACCATTCCGTCTTAAATAAATCAACGATATTTTGTAGCAATTTTTAACATCAACGTGAGATTTTTCTTGTTAACCCATTCAACATTATCGATAAAAAATAGTGAATTTTATTTAGCGTTTTTTCAAGACTTAACTTTAGCAAAACAAATTCACGAATTTGAAGAAAAAAAAGAGAAAAAAAAATAATCCGGAATGATATCAAAATCTGCGAAAATATTTCATCCTTTAATAGTCAGTTGTGTTTAGTTTAATTTCTAACATATATAAATGTAGGCAGAAAAAGCAAATGTTAGTTAAGATATCGAGAGTTACAATCAAAGCACTGCCCGGGGGTCTCCAACCAGCCTTGCCTCCCAGTTGGCGGGTTCAAGGGACAATGTTAAGAATCACTGATTTAGGCTGAATTCTTTTATTCCGACATTTCTCCGTATGAAAGAGAGAGACTGTTCCAAATATTGAATGATGATAAGTGAGTATTGCACAATTTACAACGAAGTAACTTGAAAACTTTTAAAAATGATATTTCTAAAATATTGCTTTCAAAGCTTTTTAAAAGCCTACATTCCAAAAGTATTGAAATTAATCTTTAAAGTTTCAATTAAACTTTTACTTTTATTTGTAATTTTCACCCTAATACGGCAATCTGAATATACCATTATCAACAAATATTTTATGAAAACAGGTCTTAGTAAATACTTTTTTGTTTTAACATCCATGAAATGTTATTATTAGATACTAAATTCTCCCTAATCCGTCTACGAAATTCTGGAGTCGGGATAACATCAATTAGCTAAGTGACAAATGAAATCTTTTACTTATATAGCACATGAATGAATATATATATATATATATATATGAGTGTGTGTGTGTGAAAATATATAGAAAATAGGAAGGAACTGGTTAGGTAAATAATCCAAAGTCCCTTAGTATTTTAGTTATTATTTTTAAAAAATAGTGCTCGATACAAAAGTAGAGCATAAATATAATTATTTATTTAAAAATATGATTCCAAATCGCTATATAAGAGGTCTCATGTTTCAAAACTAGAGCCGAAAACTTCAATATAATCCTTTAAATTAAATTGAGTTGAAAGTAAAATGGGCTCCGTTCCATCCTCAAGCGAAATTTTTTTTTTTTCGCTTGAAGATGGATCGGAGCCCATTTTACTTTTCAACTCAATTTAAAAGGATTATATTGAAGTTTTCGGCTCTAGTTTTGAAACATGAGACCTCTTATGTAGCGATTTGGAATCATATTTTTAAATAAATAATTATATTTACTAGCAGTAAATAAATAATTATATTTACTAGCAGTCGACCGAGTCTTTCATTACTGAGAATTTTTGCTGTTCAATTGGAGCAGTTTAAAGTCAGCCCACCCGAAAATCAATATTATTAACAACAATTGAGGCACATCTCCAAAGGGGGGAGATAACAATTTGAATGGTGGGTGGCCCTGAAAAGGGCTGTTTTTGCGTTCTCAATCTTGTTTCAGTCTCACGCGTAGCAGCAGCAGCGGAAGAGGCGTTTCTTCTCAGCCGTCGAGACCTTTGATCAGCAGTTTCAGCAATGAAAAAGCAAATTAAATTTTGCGTTTGATTTTTGCGCAAAGTGTAAAAAATCGGTTTTTTCGATTTTTCACCTTCAAGGTTGTATTTTTTTTTTTCCAGCCAATTTGGACTCAAAACCGGCACTGGATAATTATCTATCAAACAAAAAAAAAGAAAAAAAAAAAAATTCATCGAAATCAGATGAAAACTGTGGAAACGCATAAACAACATCCGATCACACACACACACACACACACACATACAGACACACACACATTTTGAGAATTATATATATATATATATATATATATAAATTTTTCCTTGTAGGGAAACAG